TATATATATATATAAACCCTCTATTTAATTCTTCAGTTGAGCAGAAAATGGCCCTAGCAGAGACAAGGTGTTTTTTGCATTTCACTATACTTAATGTTTATTTTCTTTGTTTGCCTACTTTGAGTGAGTTCTGGCTTTGATACGTTACATCTGAAATTTTCTTGGCTCACCTTGGTAATTACAATAATTACACTTTTTTTCCTCTTAATTTTTAATGGCTTAACAATGTGACTTCTCATCCCATATTTGTCACTTTTAACCAGAAGCTAGGTAAATGGAAAATCATTGTTTTGGATGGTTTTATTAAAGAACAACTTCAATTTTTTTTTAAAAGACATATGCTCATTTTAAAAATTCAAGCAATTAAGAAAAGCACCACAAATAAAGCAAAAATACTTTCTCTTACCACTCAGAAAACAACCATTGTTAACCTTAGTTGAATATTATTCCAGACATCTCTTTGTGTCTATGGACATAAAAGTTTAGACAAACAGAAAGATAAATGATATTAAAATTGGATCATATTACATCTGGTGGCTAATCATTAGAGTTAATTTTAACAAAAGCAAACTAAATGATATAGAATCACTGAACTTTGGATAAATTTTTCACTACATTTCAGGCATGTTTTAGAGACTGTGGTAATGTGTACTCAAGTTTGTCTCAGTCCTGATTTCCAACTCTTGGCCAAACCTAGAAAAATGTCTTGATTGCCCCTGCAGCAGCATTAGTCTCCTCAATCTCTAAAAGTTCCTCTTTTGCAACATGCGTATGACGTGTGTAACATGTATAACATGTATTTTTGTCACTAGCCTGTAAAAACATAAAATGGAAAGAAACAAAGAAAGGAAAGAAGAAGGGGAAGGAAGGGAGAGACGGAAAGAGAGAGGGAAGTTTCTATTCCAATGTCTGTATTCCAGTTTGTCATTTTAGTGGTCCTCTTAATTAAGGTGCCATGTAAATTGTAGGTGATGCCCACTCAACATTATAGGGTGGACCAGTGTTTTGTTAAATAGGTCTGGCCTTCTCCTTTATTATGGAGTAGGTCCAAAGGACCATTATGGTACAGTCACATCAGGATTTATTATGACCAGCCTGATCCAAATCCTCTCACTAATGAAGTACTTTACACCAAAAGTCTAGTTTTGTTCAATTTATTTTATGGAGCCTATTATTGTAGTGGGGTTTTATCCATAAAATTCTAATGAGATCATCTTTATTAGATTCTTTGCAATTTTTAAAATTTTAATTCTAGTGTAGTTAACATGCAGTGTTATATTCGTTTCAGGTGTACAATGTAGTCATTCAACAATTCTATACAGTATTCAGTGCTCATCACAGTATGTGTACTCTTAATCCCCTTCACCTGTTTCATGCATCACCCCCCCCCACCTACCTCCCCTCTGATAAATATCACTTTGTTCTCTATAGTTAAGAGTCTGTTTTTTGGATTGCCTTTTTTTTCCCCTTTGTTTGTTTATTTTGTTTCTTAAATTCTACATATGAGGGGCACCTGGGTGGCTCAGTCAGTTAAGTACCTGCCTTCGGCTCAGGTCATGATCCTGGGGTCCTGGTATCGAGCCCCATATCGGGCTCCCTGTTCAACAGGGAGACTGCTCCTCCTCTCCTTCAGCTGTTCCCCCTGCTTGTGCTCTCTCTATCTCTCTCAAATAAATAAAATCTTTTTTTAAAAAATCTACATATGAGTGAAATCATATGGTATTTGTCTTTCCCTGAGTGACTTATTTCACTTAGTATCACGCTCTCTAGCTCCAACCATGTTGTTGCAAATGACAAGATTTCATTCTTTTTTTACTTTTTTATTTTATTTTTTTAAAGATATTATTTATTTATTTGACAGAAAGACAGAGAGCACAGGTAGGCAGAGGGGCAGGCAGAGGGAAAGGGAGAAGCAGGCTCTCTGCTGAGCAGGGATCCCGATGCAGGGCTCGATCCCAGGACCCTGGGATCATGACCTGAGCAGAAGGCAGTCGCTTAACCGACTGAGCCACCCAGGTGCCCCTTCATTCTTTTTTTAATGGCTGAATAATATTCCATATAATGCATACACACACACACACACACACACACACCACTTTCTTTATCTACTCATCTATCCATGGGCACTTGGGCTGCTTCCATAATTTGGCTACTGTAAATAATGCTGCAGTAAACATAGGGGTGGATGTATCCCTTTGAATTTGTGTTTTTGTATTCTTCGGGTAAATACCCAGTAGTGCAATTACTAGATGGTAGGGTAGTCCTACTTTTAATTTTTTGAAGAATTTCCATATATCTTCCACAGTGGCTGCACTGGTTTTCATTCCCACCAACAGTGCAACGAGGGTTCCTTTTTTTCCATATTCTTGCCAACACTTGTTGTTTCTTGAGTTTTTTTGGTTTGTTTTTTTTGGCCATCTGACAGGTGTGAGGTGATATCTCATTGTGGCTTTGATCTGCATTTTCTTGATGATAAGTGATAATGAGCATCTTTTCATGTGTCTGTTGGCCATCTGTCTTCTTTGGAGAAACATCTGTTCTTCTCATTTTTTAATTGGATTATTTGTTTTATGGGTGTTGAGTTGTATAAGTTCTTCATACATTTTGGATAATAACCCTTTATCAGATATGTCATTTGCAACTGTCTCCTTCCATTCAGTAGGTTATCTTTTAGTTTTGCTAGTTGTTTTTTGCTGAACAGAAGCTTTTTCATTTGATATAGTCCCAATAGTTTACTTTTGCTTTGTTTCCCTTGCCTCAGTAGACAGATCTAGAAAAATGTTGCTACAGTCGATGTCAGAGAAATTACTGCCTGTGCTCTCTTCTAGGAATTTTATGGTTTCAGTTCTCACACTGAGGTCCTTAATCGATCTTATTTTTGCATATGGTGTAAGGAAGTGGTCCAGTTTCATTCTTTTGCATGTTGCTGTCCAGTTTTCCCAACACCATTTGTTGACGAGACTGGTATTTTCCCATAGCATATTCTTACCTCCCTTGTCAAAGATTAATTGACCATATAATTATGGGTTTACTTCTCTGTAGCCCCATGCTTTCATAAGATGATCCCCTGATAAAGCTTCTCTCATTTCAAAGACAGTATCAAGAAGAGGCTTCTGCAAGATAAATGCAATTTTTAAATTCCAAATCAGCTTTATGTCAGATATGTAATTTGAGTGACAGGACCCATCTTGATTCAGAGTATTCATAGCCAGGAATAAATGAAAATCAGTTTGAAATACATGAATCTCATTTTCATGAGAGACTTCTAGACTAAAACTTTCCATATGCTGACCTGGAATGAAATCCTCACATATTACTCAGATTTACAGAAATAAACTTAAAACTTATGTTTTGTTGGGGTGCCTGGGTGGCTCAGTTGGTTAAGCATCTGCGTTCGGGTCAGGTCATGATCCCAGGGTCCTGGGATTGAGCCCTGTGTTGGGCTCCCTGCTCAGTGGGGAGCCTGCTTCTCCTTCTGCCCCTCACCCCGGCTCATGCACGCACACTGTCTCTCTCAAATAAATAAATAAAATCTTTTTTAAAAGCTTATATTTTCTTACAAATTTAAAGATAGGCACACTTGGTATGGTGACAGAATAATAGATCTCATGCAGAAGACAATGGATCTGCGTCCTACAATGCCAATTCGTCACACACACCACCTTGGCTAGTCATCCAATCACTACCTCACAGTGTTTTTACAAGGATCAGATAAAATAGTGTATTTATAAGGAAGTATTTGGAGACATCTTTAGATTCTCAGTTCCCATTTATTTCCATAGTTACAAATGTTTTCAGACACCAACTAATGTCTTAACTTTTTAAGGCATTGAAATAAAGATTAAATAAAATCTCCCTCAACAATATGACATTGAGCTCTAACCCTCCAATATGATGATAAGGCCTTTAATTTTATATTTCACTATTAAAGATCCCATTTTAATTGTCCCAGAATAAATATATTTATCCAGGCCCAGTTATGTGCATATGTATGTATGCATACATACATATGCTCTTTTTTTTTTTTTAAAGATCTTATTTATTTATTTGACAGACAAAGCGCGAGAAGGAACACAAGCAAGGGGAATGGGAGAGGGAGAAGCAGGCTTCCCGCTAAGCAGGGAGCCTGATGCGGGGCTTGATCCCAGGACTCTGGGATCACGACCTGAGCCGAAGGCAGACGCTTAACGACTGAGCCACCCAGGCGCCCCTACATATGCTCTTTCTTCTCAGGCTTCTTTTGCATATTTTCTTTCCTAATGTTATGTGTATGCAATTATGTATGTATATATATTACCAACTCCTTGAAGTAGATACTATTATTTCCCCATTTTACACGTTAGGAAAATGCAGCATGGAGAGGTTAAGTAGCTTGCCCAGACCACACAGCCACTGAGTGGCAGAGACAGGAGTGAAACTGAAGAAGTGTGACTTCGGAGGCTGAGCTCTGAGCTCTGAACACTGGGCCATGATGTTTCAATGAGAGTTAAAGCCAGAGTTCAGGTCTTTGAGCAGAAGGTGTGTCTTTCCTGTCAGTCATGTCCATGTATTATCAAAAGATGATAGTTGCTCAGTTCCTTTTATTGCATCCCTCTCCGTTTTAGGGATAGCAATCGATGCTGGAAGTCCAGAAATGAATATGATAATTGTCTTCAAGGAACCCATAGCCCCCTTTGGAATTCAGACAGGCCCATGACTAATTACAATGCAGTGCCCTAGAGAGGAGTGCAGTTCATCGTGACACATAAACTGAGATGAAGAAACAATAAAATTAGGCAGAAATATTTGTTATACAACCATGATAAACACAACACTGTATTAAAGAGTTGTGAGGAGCAGTAGGAGCATGCTCTCAATCATTTAAGAAGAGTCCAAAGTAGTAAGAGAAAAAGAAGAAAACATACATGAAAAGAATTATTGCAAAAAATCCAGTATAAATTCATATTGCCTAAAATATATTTGACAATTTATAATCAAATCATCAAATATTAATACCTCTTTTGTTACCACAAAAAAAGCCAAATTAAAACCCTACAACCAAGAACTTACATGTAGGGTGAAAACATAAATTTGAAATAGTGGGTTTTTTTTCTTTTTTAAATAATAGTATTATTTGGGGGCACCTGGGTGGCTCAGTCGTTAAGCGTCTGCCTTCGGCTCGGGTCATGGTCCCAGGGTCCTGGGATCAAGCCCCACATCGGGCTCCCTGCTCCATGGGAGGCCTGCTTCTCCCTCTCCCACTCCCCCTGCTTGTGTTCCCTCTCTCGCTGTGTCTCTCTCTGTCAAATAAATAAAATCTTTAAAAAATAAATAAATAAATAAATAAATAATAGTATTATTTGTACATTGAAGAAACTAAGCAGTACAGATAATTTTTTAAAACTTTTTAAGTGCCCATCAATAGTATTGTAGAAAAACAAGTCCTATTAATATTTTAATGTATTTCTTCTCAGGTTTCTTTTGAATATTTTTTTCCAAATGTTATACATTCTTTATAAATAACTGTACTGAATTTTCCCACAGAATACTAACGTAAGTATTTTCTTGTTATACATGTTTCATAAATATTTTGGGGATACATAATCTTTGCAGATGTGTTTTAGATAATCATATTCCTATTGAGTTATTTAGGCTTTTTATAATTTTTTACTTATAAAAGCCTCTGCATAAAGCTTTTTCGGTTTTTAAAGTAATGTCTTTAGGATGAATTTCCAGAAGTGGAATTACTGAATAAAGGATGTGAAAATTTTTTTTAATTCTTCACACTTCTGTCAAATTGTCATTGTCATTTCTATCAAAAGATTTCCAATGTACTGAGCACAGAATATCATCTTTTTGGGGGCACCTGGGTGGCTAAGTTGGTTGAGCATCCAGCTCTTGATTTCAGCTCAGGTCATTCTCTCAGGGTCATGGGATCGAGCCCCACATTGGACTCCATGCTCAGCAGAGAGTCTGCTGGAGATTCTCCCTCTCCCTCTGCCTCTCTCCCCACTCACAGGCACGTGTACCTACATGTGCTCTCTCCCTCTCAAATAAATCTTTAAAAAAAAAAAAAAAAAGAATATCATCTTTTTAAGGATCTTTTTTAAATTTGAGTATCAGAGATTACATCTTTCCATATGTTCATTAACCAGTTGTGTTTCTTTTTAAAATGTTCTTTACCAGGGTGCCTGGGTGGCTCAGTCAGTTAAGCGTCTGCCTTCAGCTCAGGTCATGGTCCCAGGGTCCTGGGATTGAGCCCCACATCGCGCTCCCTGCTCAGTGGGAAGCCTGCTTCTCCCTCTCCCACTCCCCCTGCTTGTGTTCCCTCTCTCGCTGTCTCTCTCTCTCTCTCTCTGTCAAATAAATAAATAAAATCTTAAAAAAAAAAAATGTTCTTTACCCAAAATGTATTGGGATCTTGAGGTTAAGGAACAGTCCTTCTAATCAAGTGTTGATTTTTTTCATTTTGTAGCCAAAGAAACTCTACCAGATCTGGTTTCCATAATTCCTGACACAGTCCCGAGTACTGATCTTCTTATTGAGACGACAGCCTCTGCCTGCTACACTCTGAACAATATAATCCAAAATAGTTACCAGAATGCACGGGATCTTCTAAACACTGGAGGCCTGCAGAAAATCATGACCATCAGCTCAGGCGATGTGTAAGTCCTGTAGTATCTGCCTGTTGGCTTTCTGCTCATTCCTCACCACCACTCCCATATGTAAATCTAGTTTTGATTTAGTCAACACATTGAGTGCCAGGGGTATTATGGCCAAAAAACAAGATTGTAAAGTTGGGCCAGATCTTCTGGTTCAATCCTTGATAATCAAGCAAGTGAAAAACTGAATTCTCCAAGCCAAATAGTTGCCCATTCACTTCTAAAATATCCAGATAGTCAAACTCAGTAGTTTCCCTAGGTAGTACACTCCAGCCTTTTATCAACTTAATTAATTTATTTCCCAGAGCCACAGCTGTGAATCAAAACCAGCAAAACGTAGGCAAAGTAGGAGCCCTACGGACAGGGACTGCCCCTTTCCCCACTTAGATCTGGAGTCAGTGTCACCCCAGGTGGCTTAGAAGAAGCAGGGGTAACACAAGAAGTAGGAGGCAGCATAATCAGAAATTCTTGCTTTCTCGGTTTTCTCTATCACATCTCTTCCATCTCTTATTCCCTTTTGAGAATAGAAGGTCTAACGTATAGAAGTCATCCTACATCCCTATTTCTGTGTCTTTAATTTTTCCCCACTTAAAAAAAAAAAAAGTGATAAAGAGAATGAAAAACCTCGTGTAACAAAATTATTACTATTAGTTAATTTAGAGGCATGGAATCCAAAGAGGGCATCTTTTTCTCTTTATACAATTCTGAATTGTTTGACTTGTTAAATACAAGTTACTTTTGTAAACAACTAAGAAAGAGATGAAATGTTATACCCCAATTCTAATGAGTTGTAAAGCAAACGGGCTTTACCCCTGGTAGACAAATGTGTGCCTGGCCCCACGGGAAAGCATAGCGGTCTCTGGTGTCCTGGAGTAAACACACATCTCCTTCCCCGCAGCCCCGTTCCGGCAGGCCCTTGTGCTCTGCAGCCCCACTCTGGCAGACCTCATGGGGAAGGAAGACCATATTCAGAGTCAGGATTAAAAGGAGCACTGGTTGGAATGTCAGTTCCCCGAGTCAGAATATTCACCTGCCCCCAGAGTCTGGCAGAGAGCAGTTGCTCGATCTTTATGGAAAGATTGAATGATTGCTGTAGAACAGAAATGACTATTTCAAGTGGTCATCCATGCTTATAAGCAAATCTCTGTAAGACCATATGATTTTAATTATTTGAGTATTCAGGCATCAGAAGTGCATGAGAATATGCCCTCACTTTTGGAAACTTCTTATAGCTTAGTAACATATGGGGATGTGCTACTCTGTTCTTTTTTGCCCTGAGTGTCCATTTGCCCTGTCTCAAAAAAAAAAAAAAAAAAAAAATCAAAAGGAGCTTCTACCAGTCGTGCCGCTATTCCTTCCTTGCTAGAGTGTTGTATAGCCGACCTGTAATTTAGGGGCTAGCCTGAAAATTAGTTGCCATTTATAGCATTTTTTTCTTTGAATAAATGATTTCCAAGTGCCAAACAACCAACTTATAAAGAAACTGTGATATAAAACCCTTGCAATTCAAAAACATTTTCCAATTTTAAATATTAGAGACCCATAGCTTTCATGGCTTTATTAGTATTTCAGTATTAGCAGGTGACTTTGAAAAGTCCATGAAGTACAAAAAAAAAAAAATCTGTAAAGTGCCAATTCGACTTACTCTTAATGCAAGGCTGGCATGGAAGAGAAAGGCTTTTAGCTAATGAATGAACTCAAGATGTGCTTTTCCATACAGTATTGCATTTTTTATTCCTGGTTGCCTGTTTATAACCTCCTATGATATGAAAAATTAAATCTTTGTTTCTTGTTAAAAGAAAAAATCCAGCCGTGTGCTAGTTCAGGTGATGGAAGAGAAAGAATTCTGAGAAACCAAGATCCTTAGCCAGAAATAGGATGTTTAGGACAAACTTTTTGTTTTGTTTTTTATTTAAATTCAATTTAATTAACATATAATGTATTATTAGTTTCAGGGGTAGAATTTAGTGATTCATCAGTGGCATACAACACCCAGTGGTCATTACTTCAGTGCCCTCCTTTAATGCCTATCACCCAGTTACCTCATCCCCCCCACTCACCTTGTTTTAGGACAAATTTAAAAGCAAAACATCAAAAACTAAGTATAGTGTCGGGGCACGTGGCTGGCTCAGTGGGTGGAACATGTGACTTTTGATCTCAGGGTTGTGAGTTTGAGCCCCACGTTGGGTTTAGAGATTACTTAAAAAAATAAAGAAGAGAGGCGCCTGGGTGGCTCAGCTGGTTAAGAGTCTGCCTTTGGCTCAGGTCATGGTCCCAGGGTCCTGGGTTCCCGCCCCATGTCAGCCTCCCTGCTCCACGGGAAGTCTCCTCCCTCTGCCCCTCCTCCGCTCTCTGTCTCTCACTCTCTCACAAATAAATAAATAAATAAATAAAATCTTTTTTAAAAATTGAAGAAAAAAACTAAATATAGTGTCCAATTCTGTAGTGACTTGGATTTATAACAGGAGTGCATTTCCATTCACTTTATACAAAAACAAATTTTGAAGCTATTTTAACAAATATTTCAACAAGAATTTATTACATTAGCTTGAAAATATTACTCTTACACTCGTAGAGTCACTAAGTCTAAGAGGTGGATATATTTTTCAGTCATGCTTTCCTGAATTTGTATTCTACATATATGCATTATAAATGTACAAATACATGTCTATTCTATAGTGTATCTATACATATTTAATTTTATTTATTAATGTAATACAAAATAAATGTAAATAGTGTATATAAATATACAAATTCTATTCTATAAATCAAGGATCTATGAAATCTAAGGATATATTCCTTATAAATATCAGGAATATGCTCTATAAACTATTTGTTGGCCTGTACTAGTGGTTTTAAAAGATTTTTTTTAATAATTTTTTTTTTTTAAACCCACTGTGGCCCCTGGCCTTCAAGGCTCACCATCTAATTCTCTTGTCATGGTGAGTGGCCTGACTTAGTGGATGGCCACGGAGCAACAGCAGTTAAAGAAGATTTATGGAACGTCCAAAGACAGCACCCAGAAGCCTGATACGTTCTCACTGATCTTGGAATGCCTTTTTCCTTTTTTCAGCTATGCCTCCAACAAAGCAAGTAAAGCTGCTTCTGTTCTCCTCTATTCTCTGTGGACACACACGGAGCTCCATAATGCCTACAAGAAGGTAAGAACACTAAAAAGGTATGGGTTGCAGTTAACAACCAGATCATAATGTTCTGCTTGTCTGCCCCTGGCGAGACATCGCTCAAAACTCCATTTTCTTGTGTGAAAATGTTACCTTTCACATTTCTGTTTGCTTACTCCAAAGGCTCAGTTTAAGAAGACAGATTTTGTCAACAGCCGGACTACCAAGGCCTACCACTCCCTTAAAGACTGAGGAAAATGAAAAATCTTGCTCTCAGAAATCTCAACCTCACCATTCTCAGCCACAAAAAATCTCCAAAGGAAAACACCTATTTTTCTACTTCTCCGCCCAAGAAACCTCAAAAGAGCATGCCCTGTTTCTTAGCTTTTTCTATTTCCAAGGTCCCTAGAATCCAGAAAACAAATAAGCAGAATATAATTTTATCAGTCTTCTAAAAAACTTTTGCAAGTTTGCTACCAGTAGACACTGGCAACAGGCTCGCTTTTACCCTCCACAGATTGTGGTCCTTATGATCTGGGCTTATGGTACAGGGGCCTTCCGGAACCAAAATGTGAATTCATGTGGAATGAACATTAACAACAAGTAAGGAAGGAGGTGGTTGTCTTACTAGGATTTTAAAAGTTTTATTTACGTTTATATTCCTTTTCTGGTTTCCATGTTCTGTCACTCATATGCACATTGCTTCGCCTTTGAGCCACGAGTGTATTGTTCTGCAGTGTTGAAACAGAATGGAAACGACAAGAAATATTTGCAGAGTTATCCAGGAGAAAATTTAATGACAAAATTATGTTTGTTTACTTTGTGCTTGTTTTTATCCTCTTGAATTTTTTTCTCTGATTTGAAATGAACTTAAGAAATTTAGATCACGGAGCATGCGTGACTCTAAGAAAATGAAATTGAAATGAAGCGATCACAGCAAATTTAAAAATCTTTTCACAGACAAAGGAGACTATGGTTATGAAATTCAATGTTCCCTCTAACACTGGGTAAATATGAGTCTTGCTCAAGGAAATACCTGCCCTGTGACAATACCATGAAAAGCAAATCTCTTCTGAATAGTAGGACTCAATGTGATCTATTGCCTGGACTTTTTCAGCAACTTCTGTGGGCTGGTAGAAAAATGGACTCTACTCTCTTCAGCTACAAAAGGAACCAGAACCTCTCAAACTGTTGCGTGAGCCCAGGGCACTGAAAATACAGCTCATTTTAATGAATTACATATCAATTAGCTGAACTTTGCCCAACATTTAAAAAATAGCACAGAGCCTCTCAATCTCATGTGATCTTCCTCAAGCCATTATTTTAAGTCAAGGAAATTCTAGAGCAAAAAAAAAATGAAGACATTACGTTGAGGAAAAATATGTCAAGGCCACCCAGAAATTATATGAGAAATACTAATATTGAAAAGTTGACATCATCTGCTGAAGCGAATCTATATCAAGTGTTCTTTTAACTGAGCTGTGATTAATACCATTTACATAAAATTAGTCTTCTCAACTACAGTTGTTACATTTTGGTTTTTTTTTTCTTAAATCTGACAATGTTTGCTATAAGAAAATAAGAAGGAAAAAATCCTTCAGCTCCTTTTCGCCAGAAAAATGTAATAGAAAAATAAATTCCCATTTTCAATTTGAATGTGTACTTAAGTCTTTATTTTATTTAGAAGATAAAATTCTTTGAATTTTAAGAGCTTGATGGAGAAGATTAGATTACTAACCTAGTTCAAAATGAAATTAGTTAGATACCAATTTTTAAATACTGAAGAGAGAAATCATCTCTTTTTCTAGAGTTTTGATGAATAACACTTGGAACATTTTTATTCCTCCAGGTAACTGATGGATGTTCAAGAAGCTTCTGTGTTTTCTAAGGCCTTCGTAGAGCCTTCAATCTTAAACACAAAAAGAGGGCTAAATAATGTTGCCTGCATTGGTATCTGTGTATATCTGATTTATTTGTGTATCGTGGTATATGTGATATGATTAAACTTTCGTTGCTAAGGGTTTAATACCTTGTAAATGTTTCTATTTCTTCCCTAAAGCCCTAAATTCTTTACCAAGAAACACTTCCTGTAAGAAAACTGGAATTAGCTAATGACTAAAGCATATAACCATGGAGAGACATACAAATGTGGTAGATTTTAGTGAATTGGTCTGTGACCCTGATAAGGTAGGGTTTGATCCCCATGTCCTGCTTTGTTCACTTTGCTTACCAAAAAACCTCACTACTTTACTATCTGTGAGGACCTCTGAGGGAGGAGGTCCTTGTGTGTTGAATATCAATTTTTGATCACAGATCCACACAAAAAGCCCTTTTTTTAAAAAAATATGTGTCCCAGCCTTGCCCATGTCATCAGGACAGTTGACAAGCTGAGCGGGGCCTTTTTGTGTATTTGGGCTAAGAGCTCCAAAGGGCTGCTTCCTTGTCAAGAATTCTTAATGGTGTTGTGGCATATGGGAGGTCGCTGCCCTGGCTTTCTGTCACTGGGAACATTTGTTTATACCTGATGGCAATAACCAAAGGGTTATCTGGCAAGATAGGGGATTAACATGTCAAATGGGAAAATAAGCAGCATGAGTAGATAAAACACTTTAAAATGAATTTAATCACCCTCTGAAGAAGCAATTTCTTAGAATAAAAAAAGGAAATAGGATATAAATATATTTAAATATATCTTTATATACATATAATTTATTTGTACTATAGTTATAAATGAAATTTCCTCTAAAATGTGTCATGAACTTACTATGCTTTGGAATGAGGACGACTTCAGTATGTTTGTACTTTCAACAAAATTGCAGAAGCCTCAAATCACGGGATCTGAGGATTAGGGGGCAATTTAGAGGACATCTGGTCAAGTCCTACTTAAAGTATCGTCTTGCATCAGAAAAGACGCAGTTCTTAACAAAGGAACAGAGGAGAAAATTTGCAATCATTCGTTCAGCTGATGCTCAGCATAACCCTGTAATTCACTCATTTTAAGAGTCAGTAACTGTTACACTAAAGTATTTGTTGTGGAAGAGAAAATAAAAAAGGAAACAAACTTTTCAAAATAAAATCCTGCTTTAGATTTAATGTTTTAGTTTATAGCGGTACTGACAGTTTCATCTCTTAGGAAATAAACTTCAACCTTTTAAGGACCGGAAAGAAAGGAAAACACTCTTTTTATGATATATTCAGGAAAGAGATATCAAAATGCTGTATGTTGGTAAAAGAGCTGTTTAAAGTATGAGTGGAAGGGAAAGCATTCTGAAGCCATAGTCTGGGAGACACACATAAAGAATCCAGCAATAGTTATCCTGGAAGAAAGGTGCCGTGTTACCTGTCTTTAAATATCTGAAGGACCTTTGTATAAAAGAGACAGTCTTATTCTGAGTAGAAGACAGACCAGTGCCAATAGGTAGAGACTTGTGAGACTAGCTTTGACTGAACAATAGTGAACATATATTGAGCGTACCTCACAGTCTCCTCATGAAGGATATACTTTTTTCTTTTTCTTTCTTTTTTTACATTTTTAAAATTTTTTATTGTTATGTTAATCACCATACATTACATCATTAGTTTTTGATGTAGTGTTCCATGATTCATTGTTTCTTCATAACACCTACTGCTCCACGCAGAACGTGCCCTCTTTAATACCCATCACCAGGATAACCCATCCCCCCACCCCCCTGCCCTCTAGAACCTTCAGTTTGTTTTTCAGAGTCCATCGTCTCTCATGGTTCGTCTCCCCCTCCGATTTACTCCCCTTCATTCCTCCCCTCCTATCTTCTTTTTTTTTTTTTCTTAACATATATTGCATTATTTGTTTCAGAGGTACAGATCTGATTCAACAGTCTTGCACATTTCACAGTACA